AAGAAGCTGAACCCCTAATGGCTAAGAAAGATTTTCTGAATAAAGCACCTCTGTATATAATTGACTGTTCCAAGCAGAACGAGTCAATCAAGTCTGGGCCTGTGGATATATGTCTGGAATTTGAATCATCAGCGCAATTTCCAAATCAAACTACTACTTACTGTTTAATAATTCACGATCGTATAGTGGAATACAATCCAATCAGCAGCACTGTAAGAAAACTTCCTTAATGATACAGTTTGATCCCAAACCCACCATACATTACATGTATGTATGGGACTTTGCATCCAGACAAGCGAGGAAAGGCCCATGGGAACAAGCAGCAAGAGATGGAGAACGATTTCGCCGACGAATACAAGAATCAAATAAAATTATTGAACCTGTACTAATCAATAAACTTAATGTAATTAAAAATAATAAATAAACTTAATGTAATTAAAAATAGTAAACAAAGAAAAAACTTTTTTATAATTTTGTGTTTTTGAATAAATTATAAACATAACCTAAAAATCATAAGTTGAATGGCGGGAAAAGTTATAACTATAAAAATTGAAATGACTTCATTTTACTACGCAGTATGAATAACCAATCAAATTATTAATTAACCAAGAAGAATGATTGGGCAATAAGATTATCGAGTGGTGGGGGTGAAATCCTGGGATCGGATTATAAAAGGCTGAGATGACTTTGAGAATCATCATTCAGTCACTCCTCGTCGTCGAGAGCAGTAATAATGGAGATCATTCTGGATGTTCAAGGATTCAGAGGACCTGATAATCGCTTCATTGTCAAGGAATTGGCCTCGATAACAATTCAACATGATATTGATAATCTTGAAGAATTATCATACACACTATTCCAACCACCATATCACTGGAAGGTGCTACCAGCTAACTATCAACGTCTGAATACCTGGCTGATCCGAAATTATCATGGAATCAGTTGGAACCCCGGAACAACTTCATATTACAAGCTCAAAGAAGTTCTAAATTATTTAACTTACAATAAAAAAATTATTTATGTAAAAGGTATCGAGAAAAAATTATAGATCCAAAATTTAATTGATTCTACCAATAAAATTGTAATCGATCTTGAAAATTTCAATTGTCCATCTTTAAAAAACATGAAAATATGTAATAATAATTTTTGTAACTATCATTATTGTTTATCTGATTTATGTGCTTTAGAAAATGTAAAAAATTTAAAAGATTGGTTTTTAAGCAGTCAATAAATCTAAAAATATAAATTTAATTGTGATAATTTATTTATAACCTTTAAGTTAATTAAGGAATACCTATTTTATGATTAATATTCAATAATAATAATTCCCGTGAGATGAACATGATGCAGGACCGATACTAAGTTCAGTATAGTAGAATTAAAAACTGACAATACTATAAGATTAAATAAAAAAGCATGGTATTAATGAGAGGATTTTTTTATTTAGATAGTTCTACTATTACTATTTACATCGAGAGTAGAATTAATAAATTCAAATTTAATATATTTTCCACCATGATAACGCATCAATAAGTGGTTTGATTCTGATAAATCATTCAATATCTCCATGACACCATCGTCCTTTAATAATACTGCTGCTCGAGCCGGTAAATAGATGGCGAACCCATCCTCGATATTTGCAACAATCCTCGGTCCATATTGTGTTGAGACTTGTTTTAACCCTTTGATTTTGTACTCCCGATTGAACTCCAACTCATTTATTTTCTTGACAGGTAGGATTCTTACCAAACAATTAACCTCATTCAGCTTGGAAAGATCCATGTTTGAAAGCTGTAAAATATTTAAAAATTCATTAGTAAATAAATTTTAATTAATTAGTTGATTAATTAAAGTTAATTAATAAGACAATTGAAAATTAATTAATGATTACTTACACTTCAGAGTAATAGATAATACTCGTACTTCAATAAAACTTGTAGTCGGCAAGAGCTCGTACTTCACTGGAGACGTGTGCTTCGTTTTTGTGAAGTACGCTCTCGGCGAGCTGCTTATATAGGCAGAAAATACTGCGCAGTTACCCCCACTCCTCTACCTCAAAACCTATCGGATGACGCCATCTACTGCGCAGTAAGAAAATTCTAGAACAGAATGAGTCATCTACTGCGCAGTGACCCCCACTCCTCTACCTAAGAACCTGTTTGATGACGTCATCTGCTACGCAACAGAAATACAACAAAGAAAACTGCGTAGTTACATGACCTTGAACAGGTTCAGACCTGTTTAGAAGTAGACAGAAACCTCGACAGATGGCGTATCTTTTCGCATGTACTCCTCATACGTACAGTTTGAATATATTAATATTTTCAGAATATAAACAATGAAATGCACCTGTGATCTAAGCAACTATTATTGATGCTGAGATCACAGGTGCATTTTTTAACAAAAATGCAGGAAATCAAAATTTAAAATGGCGGAAATTATACTTGAAATGGCGGATTCGGAATTTAAAAATGGCGGGAAAATAGCGAATTTCGAGCTCAAAATGTCAGCTGCCAGATTCAGATATCAACCACTAGATGGCAGTTAGCAGCTACCAGATAGCAAATAGCAGTTACCAGATGGTAGATAGCAGCTACCAGATAGCAAATAGCAGTTACCAGATGGCAGATAGCAGCTACCAGATAGCAAATAGCAGCCATCAGATTCAGATAGCAGCCACCAGATGGCGGATTCAAATGGCGGATAGCAGCCACCAGATGGCAGATTCAGAATTCAAAATAGCGGGAAAATTCAAATCGAAGAATTCACCACCAACGCCACCTACAACCTCAACCATATCCACAAATATCGGCAAATCAGATCGATTACATCTATGGTTGGTAACACCAACTGTCGGTAAAACAGATCAGTCATACCAACGATCGAGTGACAGCATTAAATTAACGGAAATCAGATTGAAAATGGTGGATTGCAGACTCAAAGTAGCGGGAAAATAGCGAATAGATTTAAAAATGGTGGGAAAATGGCGGATAGTAAGATTTGAAAATGGCGGCAGAATTCACCACCAGCGCTGCCTACAGCCGATAACAACCTAGACCGATTGTCAGTAAAAAAGATCGAGCATACCGACGGTCGGGCAGCGACCACCAGATGACGGAATTCAAAATATCGAGTTCACAAAAGCACCTACAGCAATACCTACAGTTGGCAATACCTACTGTCAGTAAACCGTATCGACAGACGGCGCTTAACATGCACACAAATCTGTTTTACCGACTGAGTATCGCCCCTTCGACATTTCTGACTCAGATAGCAGATTTCAGACTCAAAATGGCAGATTTCAGACTCAAAATGGCGGATAGCGGCCACGAGATGGCAAATTCAAATGGTGGATAGATTTAAAAAATGGCGGATAGCGGCCACCAGATGGCGGATTTCAGATAGCAAATTCAAAATGGCGGATAGATTTTCTTCCCGTAATAAGAACAATTCATCGGTTATGTGATAAAATGTATGTAAAATTATTAGTCCGTTGACTGAATAGCTATATGTAATGTTAAATTTTGGAAACGTTACAATGACTTTTTTGCCGCTGCTAAAGAGACGATTGTTGTAAGAAAATATCATTATTAAGTAAGAAAAATATTCAATTCCGTTGACCTTGGAAGCCATCCCGGTATTCGTCTGTTTCTTTTGAGATTCTATCAAATTTTATATTTGTAGGAACTGTATTTGAAAAATATGAATTTTTTGACAATTATCACTCCCGCATTCCTATGTGGGGGAGGAACTTTGTAAGATCCTGTTCGAAAATGATTTCTACATTATAAATAAAATATTCCAACAAAACTTCGATTCTATAAAAACTATCGATTAGAAATGAGAAATTATCATTGTTAATGCCCTTACAATTCCTTTTGGGGTTAGAATTCGAGAAAATTCATTTTCAGCTAAACTTGACATCGTACACGAAGATTCCTACCAAATTCAGAATCTGCAGCAGCTACAGTTTGGAAATTTAAATTTTAGATTTTAATACCCACCTCCGCAATCCCTATCGGAAGTAGAATTTTTTGGATTCCGTTTTGAGATGATTTCTAGATGACAAATAAAAGATTCCTACCAAATTTACAGCTTTTAGAAGCTATATTATGGAAATTAAGATTTTTTTTTTGGCAACACCTACCCTCGCAATCCTTATTAGGGGTGATTCGTCGTAAAATCCGCTCTTAGATTATTTCTACACCACACGTAGAAAATTTTTACCAAATTTGAGATCTATAAGAGCTACTATATCTTACAAATGGGAAATTTTGATTATCAACGCCCTGTAATCCCTTAACTGAACTGGACGTCATACACGAAGATTCTCGCCGAATTCGGAGTCTGTAGAAGTTACAGTTTTGAAATGAAAATTTTAGATTTTAAAATTTAGTGTTTTTAGAAGCTATATTTTGGAAATTAAGATTTTTTATTGTTAACATTCATCCCCACGATCATTATTGGAGTTAATTCGTTCAGATTTAGTTTTATTAAATTGGAATACATAAAAATCATACTTGGTTCGGGTCCACAAGAATTTTTTCATCGCTGTGACTGCAGTTTTATGCAATTTTTTGGGGTTTTTTGCATTACCCTGATACAGAAAGATGATTTGAAATGATTACCTTCATGATAACTGTATATCTATATAGTATTCAAATCTGATGCATTTAAATTATTTCAAATCAATTTGGATCATTTCAAATTAGATTTATTAATCAGGGTATGCTCAAAATTGGAGGGTTACCGGGTCAAACGGACTTAAAATTCGGATTCAGTGGGTCAATATTCATTTCGATAGGTAGGTCCGATCCAAAGTACATACCACTTTTTTTTGTATGCCGGAATTATGTATGATCATATATTTTCGATATATATTATGAAACAACTATATTTATTAGAATATTTATAAGACAATTCAAAATTTTAAAAATTTAGGCATTATAGCGATATCACAATGGTTGATTATAAAAATATACAATATAGAATGTGGTTTTTCATGCCATTTTTAGTCTAGTGACTAGTAGATCTGATATATACAACCGGTCATGAAAATATCTTTGCTAAAATATACAATGTTATAATTTTTTTTATCAACTGTTGTTTTATTAAAAAGTATAAAAATTACGATAAAATAGTGTCATTTATTGTTTTCTTGTATTTAATGAAATTTATCTCAGAGGCAATTTATTGAAAGGGTTCAGCTATCAATAAATCTTATAGAAAATTGAATTCTTTACATAAAAGGTCCTTTGCAATTTAGGTGTCACTGCAACTTGCACCTCGGCAGAGCAAGCTCACATCAGCCGTGGCCTGCATCGTCGGAAACTACGATACAGGTTCCGGACACTCCCAGTGAGTTACAGCAGGGACCGATCGTCTTGTTAGGTCAGTTAGTGTGACCAACCCATTAAAGGGGAGTTTTGTCCACGGGAGCGTATTTTGTTTGGTTATTTTGCTTGACTCCTACCCGCTGTACCCCATCAACTAAGAGATTATCCAAGTGTCATCCAAGGACAGCGAGCGTTCTCCCATCCGCTCGGGGAGACGCGCCCGGTAGCAGTATCTCTTCTGCCCCGAGTGTGTGTGTGTGTGTGTGTGTGTGTGTGTGTGTGTGTGTGTTTGTGTGTGTGTATGTACGTATGTGACGCTCTTATAACTTTTGAACGGCTTGACCGATTTCATCGCTGTTGACACCATCCGAAAGGGCTTGACCGAACATAGATTTTAAATACCATTTGGAACGATTCGTACCAGTAGATTTTAAAAAATATCAAAAAAACTACCAAAAAAAATTAGAAAAACGGTTCACCCTAAAGGCCATCCCTGCAACTTCCCGCTAATTCCATTCCTGGGCGCTTAAAGTTGTACTTTTTCGAAAGAAAACCGAAAAAAGTGTTTTCTTGGAATCACTCCTTTATGGGGCTTAAAAAAGTGCGTCGAATGCAGTAGCGGGACTGGAGGAGTGCTACTCAATCGGTAAAACAGATTTTGTGTGTTCATATGCTAAGTTACCATGTTCATGCTAAGTTACCGACCGTAGATATGGGCGCCCTGTTTGACCGACCTGTTTTACCGACGTGGATATGGTGGAGGGTTTTTCGTAGGTGGCACTGGTGGGAAATTCTGCCACCATTTTTTTGAATATCCGCCAGTTTCACGCCATTTTTTAAATCTATCTGTCATTTGAATCCGCCATCTCGTGGCTGCTATCCGCCATTTTGAGTCTGAAATCCACCATTTTGAATCTGAATTCCGCCATTTTGAATTTTGAATCCGAAATCCGGAGGCTGCTATCTGAATCTGAAATCTGCCATTTCGAAGGGGTGCTGCTCAATCGGTAAAACAGATTTATGGGTTCGTGTTCGCGCTAAGTACCATCCATAGATATGGGCGACCTGTTTTACCGACAGTATAGCCAACTTTAGATATGGATGATATGTTTTTACCGTCATTTTAAGGTTATGGGCGAGATTTTTATCGACTTGGTGGAGGTTGTAGATGGCGCTGGTTTCCCGCCATTATTAAATCTTACAATCCGCTATTTTCCCGTCATTTTTAAATGTCACAATCCACCATTTTCCCGCCATTTTTAAAATTATACTATTCGCCATTTTCCTGGAATCATTTTGAATCCGCCATCTGGTGGCTGCTATCTGAGTCTGACTCCGCCATTTTGAGTCTCAAATCCGCTATGTTGAGTCTGACTTCCGCCATTTTGAGTCTAACTTCCGCCATTTTGAATCTGAAATCCACCATCTGGTAACTGCTATCTGAGTCTAACTCCGTCATTTTGAGTCTGATTCCCGCCATTTTTTAAATCTTACTATCCGCCATTTTCCCGCGATTTTTAAAATCTATCCACCGTTTGAATCCGCTATCTCGTAGCTGCTATCCGCTGTTTTGCTATCTGAAATCCGCCATCTGGTGGCTGATATTTTGAGTTTGGAATCCGCCATTTTGAGTCTTGAATCTGCCATTTTGAATCTGAATTCCGCCATTTTTAATCTGATTTCCGTTATTGTAATGCTGTCATCCGACCGTTGGTATGACTGATCTGTTTTACCGACAGTTGGTGTTACCAACCGTAGATGTAGTAGGTCTGATTTGTCGACATTTGTTGATATGGTTGAGGTTTTTATAGGTGGCGCTGGTGGTGAATTCTTCGATTTGAATTTTCCCGCTATTTCGAATTCTGAATCTGTCATCTGGTGGCTGCTATCCGCCATTTGAATCCGCCATCTGGTGGCTGCTATCTGCTATCTGGTAGCTGCTATTTGCTATCTGGTAGCTGCTATCTACCATCTGGTGGTTGATATCTGAATCTGGCAGCTGAAATTTTGAGCTCGAAATTCGCTATTTTCCCGCCGATTTCAAATTCCGAATCCGCCATTTTAAGTATAATATCAGCCATTTTGAGTCTGATTTCCGCCATTTGAAATTTTGATTCTGATTACCTGTATTTTTGTTAAAAAATGCACCTGTGATCTCAGCATCAATAATAGTTGGTTAGATCACAGGTGCATTTCATTGTTTTTACTCTGAAAAGATTAATATATTCAAACTGTACGTATGAGGAGTACATGCGAGAAGATACGCCATCTATCGAGGTTTCTGTCTACTTCCAAACAGGTCTGAACCTGTTCAAGGTCATGTAACTACGCAGTTTTCTTTGTTGTATTTCTGTTGCGTAGCAGATGACGTCATCAAACAGGTTTTGAGGTAGAGGAGTGGGGGGTAACTGCGCAGTAGATGACTCATTCTGTTCTAGAATTTTCTTACTGCGCAGTAGATGGCGTCATCCGATAGGTTCTGAGGTAGAGGAGTGGGGGTAACTGTGTAGTATTTTCTGCCTATATAAGCAGTTTGCCGAGAGCGTACTTCACAAAAACGAAGTACACGTCTCCAGTGAAGTACGAGCTCCTAGTGGACACAAGTTTTATTGAAGTACGACTACTAACTATTACTCTCAAGTGTAAGTAATCATTAATCATTAATTAATTTTTAATTGCCTTATTAATTAACTTTAATTAATTAACTAATTAATTTATTTACTAATGAATTTTTAAATGTATTATAGCTTTTAAACATGGATCTTTCCAAGCTGAATGAGGTTAATTGTTTGGTAGGAATCCTACCTATAAAGAAAATGAATGAATTGGAGTTCAATCGGGAGTACAAAATCAAAGGGTTAAAACAAGTCTCAACATAATATGGACCGAGGATTGTTGCAAATATCGAGGATGGGTTCGCCATCTATTTACCGGCTCGAGCAGCAGTATTATCAAAGAACGATGGTGTCATGGAGATGTTGAATGATTTATCAGAATCAAACCACTTATTGATGCGTTATCATGGTGGAAAATATAATAAATTCGAATTTATTAATTCTACTCTCGATGTAAATAGTAATAGTAGAACTATCTAAATAAAAAAATCATCTCATTAATACCATGCTTTTTTATTTATTCTTATAGTATTAAGTCAGTTTTTAATTCTACTATACTGAACTTAGTATCGGTCCTGCATCATGTTCACCTCACGGGAATTATTATTATTGAATATCAGTCATAAATTAGGTATTTCTTAATTAACTTGAAGGTTATAAATAAATTATCACAATTAAATTTATATTTTTAGATTTATTGACTGCTTAGAAACCAATCTTTTAAATTTTTTACATTTTCTAAAGCGCATAAATCAAATAAACAATCATGATAATTACAAAAATGATCATTACATATTTTCATGCTTTTCAAAGATGGACAGTTGAAATTTTCAAGATCGATTACAATTTTATTGGTACAATCAATTAAATTTTGGATCCATAACTTTTTTTCGATACCTTTAACATAAATAATTTTTTTATTATTAGTTGAATAATTAAGAACTTCTTTGAGCTTGTAATATGAAGTTGTTCCGGCGTTCCAACCGATTTCATGATAATTTTGGATCAGCCAGGTATTCAGACGTTGATAGTTAGCTGGTAGCACCTTCCAGTGATATGGTGGTTGGAATAGTGTGTATGATAATTCTTTAAGATTATCAATATCATGTTGAATTGTTATTACTGCTCTCGACGACGAGGAGTGACTGAATGATGATTCTCAAAGTCATCTCAGCCTTTTATAATCCGATCTCAGGATTTTACCCCCACCACTTGATAATCTTATTGGCCAATCATTTTTCTTGGTTAATTAATTAATAATTTGATTGGTTATTCAAACTACGCAGTAGATTTTTTCGAACTGCGAAGTAGATGACGTCATTTCAAAAGTTATAACTTTTCCGCTATTCAACTTATGATTTTTAGGTTATGTTTATAATTTATTCAAAAACACAAAATTATAAAAAAGTTTTTTCTTTATTTACTATTTTTAATTACATTAAGTTTATTTATTATTTTTAATTACATTAAGTTTATTTATTATTTTTAATTACATGAAGTTTATTGATTAGTACAGGTTCAATAATTTTATTTAATTTCTGTATTCGTCAGCGAAATCGTTCTCTGTCTCTTGCTGCTTCTTCCCATGAACCTTTCCTCGCTTGTCTGGATGCAAAGTCCCATACATACATGTAATGTATGGTGGGTTTAGGATCAAACTGTACCATTAAGTAAGTTTTCTTACAGTGCTGCTGATTGGATTGTATTCCACTATTCGGTCGTGAATTATTAAACAGTAAGCAGTAGTTTGATTTGGAAACTGTGCTGATAATTCAAATTTCAGACGTATATCCACAGGCCCAGACTTGATTAACTCGTTTTGCTTGGAACAGTCAATTATATACAGAGGTGCTTTATTCAGAAAGTCTTTCTTAGCCATTAAGGGTTCAGCTTCTTTTCCATAGTAAGCACTTTGAAAGTTTGTGTACATGTCATACATCAAGGCGTACTGATTATTCGTAATGTTAAGGTTCAAATTTCCATATGGATAACTCTGAGAGTTCAAGACGAGCTTAATATCTCTTATGTTGCAGTGGTCAAATTCGCTTGCATTTTGATTCGATTGATTCTTTCTTGCTGTTTGAAATCCAACAATGACGAAATGAGGTTTCTCGAGTTGATTTGTTGTTTTGATTGCCCAAATGCGACACATATACGAAACTTGAACGAAACATAAGCAACATGTGCGTTACTTACGCGACGGATGTGCGAAACGTTAGCGAGATCTGACGCAAGTGCGACACTTGATCAACACCTAAGTGACAACTACGTGAAGCTCAAGCTACAACTGAGTGACAATTGAGCGATTATTGATAGATACTTTAGCGACACATGTGATAGTTAGGTGACGCCGGAGTCACAATGAAGCGACAAATAAGCGACACTTTGGGGACACCATATCAACACCTAAGCAACACATTAGCGATGGTTGAGTCAATTAAAGGATACCTATGAGAATCATGAGTGAAGCTAACGCGATCTAAGTGACACTTGTGCGTCGCCTACGTGGCACATGTCTAACATTGAACGACACTTACGTGACACATCAGTGACACATATGCAACAAGCGCGACATTTGAGCGACACTTATTCGACATTTGAGCGAAACATTTGCGACACTTGAGCGGCACTTGTGGATCATTAATATTATAATCAACATGTGTGTTACTTACGCGACGAATGTGCAACACGTTAATGACACCTACGCGACAATTTATCGACACCTAAGTGACACACGAAGGAAATATCAGCGACACATGAGTGACACGTAATCGACATATTTACAATACCTGGGCGACAACTACGTGATAATAATGCAACAATCAAGCGTCACTTGATCAACACTTAAGAGACAGTGGTTCAACACCGATCCGCCACTCATGGAACACTTTCGCGAGACCTGAGTTTCACCTATGTGACACCTATGTCCCAAATTGACGACACTTCAGCGACTCTGAGGTTGCATCGCTTTTATTGCAGCGAGAAATTTTTTTTTATAAATCGTAACAAAAATGTAAGCATTCACGTATCTGTATGAAAATAAGTCCGAAATAAATTTTCATTTCTTACACAATCTAATTTCTTGACTGAGCCACATCATTATTTTCTTTTGAACTTGTCAGTGCTAAAAAATGATTCTATACTTTTTAGAAGAAAAAATTATTCTCCATTATTACCAGCAAAAACCTTAGCTCTAGAAAAAAAAATAAAATTATATTTTTTGTAAATTTCAATTTTTTGACCAAGATCATTTTGTAATTCTTTTTGGGCATGACTAGACATAAAATACTTTATACTTTTCTGTACAGAATATTTTTTTCCATATTCGCCAGCTACGAGTTAAGCTTATATAGGTGAGCAGAAAAAAATGACGATGAAAAACCTCATTTTTCAATAAATTTCAAGTTTTGGATTGACATCATTTTGTAACATTTTTTGGGCATGTCTAAGTAAAAAAACTTGTCTACTTTTCTGTAACGATTACTTTGTCCTATAATTACTACCTGAGAGTAAAGCTTAAATAGGTCAGCAGAAAAAAATCACAATGGAAAACTTAATTTTTTAGTAAATTTCAAGTTTTTTATCCAAAATTAATTTGTAACTTTTTTTAGGCTTGTCTAAGCAAAAAAAAAACCTTTTAGATTTCTCTTATAGGAAAAATCTAAACTTGAAAATCTTTTTCCATATTTACCAGCAAAAAATTGAGCCTAACGAAAAAGTATAGATAAAATAACATTGTATTTCTTGTAAATCTCAATTTATTTGACCAAGATCAATTTGTAATTTTTTTTTGGGCATGACTAGACATGAAATACATTTACACTTTTTCGTAAAAAATATTTTTTTCTATAATCGCTAGCTAAGAGTCAAGCTTCAGTCAGTCAACCAAATGGAATTAGAATAATTTTTCCTATCATCGCCAGCTGAGAGTTAAGCTCATACAGGTCAGCAGAAAAAAATCACAATGGAAAACTTAATTTTTGAGTAAATTTCAAATTTTTGACCGAAATTATTTTGTGAGTTTTTTTGGACTTGACTAGGCAGGAAAATCAATCAATACTTTATGTAGAGAATATTGAATCCTATAATCACTAGCTGTTAGTTAAACCCTACCGGGTAAACAGAAAAAATGGCAATACAGAACCTCATTTTTTAGTAGCATCATTTTTTAGTTTGTTTTTTTTTTTGTGTTAAATCTGAGAAGAAAGTATCCCGGTACTTTTAGGTTGAGAAAATTTTCTTTTTTATTTCTAGTCAAGAGTTAATCATTCGATGGACCAAAGCAAGGAATCTAGAAAAAAAAACTCTGGAACTGAAAACAACTCCATCGATGTGTTACTAGCGTAGGATACATTTCATTCAAGCCACTAGCATAGTGTTTGAGCCGCCTACTTGTCAATTGTATTTTTTTAGTCCAGGACATGACAGTCAATATTGCCAAGTTAGGAAACTGGGCTCACACTTTGCCTTTACAGACCATGCTACCACTTATTTTTACCTCAGGTCATTTTACCAACACGGAACATGCTTCTCGGTCGCCACCTCTAAACCTTAAACCTTAAGAAACTATTATCTGCAAAAATTCACATCCGATTTTTTTTACCAAAACTTCTTTATTTTTCCACGTTTAGGCGTTTAGGTTATACCACCGCCAGGTTTTAAGATCAAACAGCAGTAAATTTTTAGGTTAACCTGACTTTTTTATCCATTAACTTTTTTTTTTTTGATTAGTCATCTGATTTTAATTTTATTTTGCTCATAGCTTCAGTCGAGTTCAGAAAACAAAAAAAAATCAATTTTATTTCAACCAATCAGATTATTTATCGTTTGTCTCTTTTTAATAAAAATACCAGATTCCTGGCCCTAATGATCATAGACTTTATCTGAAGCAGAAGTGATTGGTTTTTCACAAATGTGACACACAGTGACCTGGTTGTGTCTATCTTGTTGCTCGTTAGTTAAGGGTTTCATTTTAATAGGATTCTTTAAAATTTTTTCAAAGTCCAGAGCTAGTGATTCTAATTGCTTAACAAACCAGTTGATGCAATCAGGGGAACGGTTTAATTCAAATTTGGAGAGTGTGTTATTGTAGCTACAATGTACGTAGTAAGCAATACTGTGTGGAACATGTTTATGAACTGTCTTTTCATCATCTCCCGGGGGTTCGAGTGTGCATTCCAGATCTGCGTAAACTACAAACGGTACAGTATCTTTAGACTTAAAATCTTTAAATTTTAAAATTTTATTTTTTTCACTAGGAAATTCCAGGCGGACTTTGTTAGATTTAAAACAATCTACTCGGTGTTCTAAATAACATTCTTTAAGTTTAAAGTGATTCAAACAACGATCACAAAAGTACAATTTTGAATGACCTAGAAATATTTGACTTTTAATTACCCCAGAAAGATTATGTATCCATGCAAAGTGATAGACTGACTCAATATTATCTAAATTATCTGTATAATTTACACTTTTTTTAATCATCAATAAATGAATTGTCGGTATTTCTGACTCGAAGTTACTTAAATATAATGGAATGATAGTACTCTTTTCAGACTTTTTACCCGTGAATTCTGAATCTATACCATACACATTAATGCTAAGATCATTCATTTTTTCAAATTTTGGTACATCATTAAGTTTAATTGGAAATTGAATACCTTCATAGTTCAATCTGACGCTGAAGTGACGATAACTTGTAGGGTCAGTCGGAACCAATATTGGTGGATGCAAGGCGGCGTTGACACACCACAGGAAGCAGAACTCATCATTGTTCTGGATGTTCGTAACCGCATTCTTCTTGATAATATCCTTTGGCAATCTGACGAAGGTGGAGTTTCCAACTTGAGTTGGTGCGAATCTTGACATAGTCACCATCAAGCTGTTCGGTCCAAGCAGACTCCATCCGGAACCCTCATGTTCAAAATCTTCAATTCGCTGCTTCAACTTCTCATACACATGCTTAGTATACCAATCCTGAAGAGCTGTGGCAGGGAGAATCTCACGGCTTTTAGTAATGAAAGATTTTCGTTCTTCTATATCTTGTTGATGTTTCCGGAATGTGCAGAAAAATTCCACATTCACTTTCAACCCTGTCAGATCTCTCAAGACACTCTGCTCCTTGTTGATGACGATGTCCCGTGAGGCCTGGAGAAATGATGCTGATCTTTGTGATGCTGGTTGATAACACATCCAGTCTGGATGTTACCAGCGAAAGCATTCTCTAAGTCCTTCAATTTGACTTCTTGGTTAAGATCTCCACCAACAACATGGTTACCAAGTCTGGAGAACTGATCGACAAACCAGTTGAGTTGGTTGATGTGTGCTTGAACACTTCGTCTCATTTGAATTGTTGTTCCAGGATCCAGTAATATTGTGTTGAAGTATTCAATGGTCTCCTCACACACTCATGAACAGCTTTGACGATGTTCATCAGTAAGCTGCTCTCCCAACATATCAGCATACGAGACGGCAATAGTATCCACCAAGTTTTTGAGAGCCTCGATAAGGTTATGTTGTGCCATTTTGGGACGACAAACACTTCACTACTGTCTATTTACACAATATTATAGGTTATGTACACTTTTTAAGGTTATATACACTGTTTATAAGTTATGTACACTTTTAAAGGTTATGTCACTGTTTAGAGGTTATGTACACTTTATAAGGTTACGTCACTGTTTATAGGTTATGTAGACTATTTTTAGGTTATACACACACTGAATTTACACGATAGTTTTTGGCACACTGGACTACAGTTTATGCTCACAATAGTTAGCACACTGGACTATACTCGCGTACTTCACAACAGTGAACTTCCCTATATTTTATAACACTGAATACTATTTAATCACGAGAGATGTTTCACTGGAGAGGTGTACTTCGTTTTTGTGAAGTAGGCTCTCGGTGAGCTGCTCATATAGGCAGAAAATACTACGCAGTTACCCCCACTCCTCTACCTAAAAACCGGTTTGATGACGTCATCTTCTGCGCAGTAAGAAAATTCTAGAACAGAATGAGTCATCTACTGCGCAGTTACCCCCACTCCTCTACCTAAAAACCGGTTTGATGACGTTATCTCCTGCGCAGTAAGAAATAGAACAAAGAAAACTGCGCAGTTACACGACCTTGAACAGGTTCAAACCTGTTTGGTGACGTCATCTACTACGCAGTTAGGAATAAAACAAAAAGAACTACGCAGTTACCGTAACCTTTAACAGTGCCACCTACAACCAGCGCCCCCTACAACCAGCGCCACCTACAACCTCCACCATATCCACGTCGGTAAAACAGACAGGTAAAATAGGACACCTATATCTGCAAATGGAAATGACCACGGTCGGTAAAACAGATTTAATATGGACACGAAACCACAGATCTGTTTTACCGATTGAGTAGCACCCCTTCGAAATGGCAGATTTTAGATTCAGATAGCAGCCACCAGATGACGGATTGCAGATAGCAGATAGCAGCCTCCAGATATCGGATTCAAAATTCAAAATGGTGGAAATTAGATTCAAAATGGCGGAATCTGATTCAAAATGGCGGATTTCAGACTCAAAATGGTGGATAGCAGCCACGAGATGGTGGATTCAAATGGCGGATAAATTTAAAAAATGGCGGGAAAATGGCGGATAGTAAGATTCAAAAAATGGTGGCAGAATTCACCATCAGCGCCACCTACAACCTCCACCATATCGATGTCGGTAAAACAGCTCGATAAACAGGGCGCCCATACCTATCGTCGGTAAATTAGCATGGATTAGAACCCACAAATCTGTTTTACCGATTGAGTAGCAGTCCCCATCCCCACTACTGAATGCTGCCAACCGCGTAAAATCGCTCTATTTATTCAAAAATTATTGCAGTTTGAAAATTCGAAAAATGGTGTTTTATTAAACTTCTATCAGCTTTTTGAGTTCGGAGTGCTCAAAATGACACGACAATTATATTTTGAGCTCAAAGAGCTCAAAAACGTAATAAGTGATATTTTCAGCGCCTAAGTATGAAATTAGCGGGAAGTTGCAGAATTGGCCTTTAGGGTCAACCGTTTTCCTAATTTTTTTTTATTTAGTTTTTGATATTTCTCAAAATTTTTCTAGCTGAAGTGATTCAAACTCCCATGAAATCTCATGGTGACAAAACTCTTTTAAATGGTGAAAGCCGCGTTTTAATCGGTTACGCGGTTCAAAAAATATAAGAAGTTTACACACACGCCCACACCCACACACATACACACACACACACACACACACACACACACACACACACACACACACCTTGATTTTCTTAACAGGAAGTTAGAAATAACTCGATATAAAAGCGAACATCTTTATTAGGGTGGGCCAAAAAAAACTTTTAATTTTTTTTTCTTTAGCTACCGCGAAAATATCGTCCAAGATGACGAAAAAAAATTCTGGTAGAGTTTGAGCTCTTAATATCAATATCTAGAGGTGTCACGTGGTGATTTTTGATTTCCCATTTAAATAACACGGGAATTTTTTTTTTTTTTTTCAATTTTGATGTATCTCAACGAGTTATTGTGCGGTAAAATAAAAAGATATTTCTGTAGGAAATTGAACGGCCTACAAAAAAGGTCAAATATAATTTTTCGCTAAGTCAACTCGGTTAAAAGTTATTCGCGGTTAAAGTTCAAATTAAAATAATATACGATGACTTTCACAATTTTTTATACTTTTTAACAAATAAACAGCTTAAAATTATACAACAACATATTTTTCGTGATTTTTCTCATTTGAACTCCCCAAATTTATAAAGAACTGTCCCTGCTGCTACCTCGAGAAACCAGACAACATCCTACATCTGCTCTCTGAGTGTCCAGCCTACCAAATACCAAGAGAAAAGTTCCTGAGCCAATGGTACAACCACGAAAATCCAAGGGATATAGATCCGGTATTTCTGGATTCATGGAGCACCGACTCGACCAAAAAATTATTTGCCTTCTGTAAGGCTTGCTATTTTATTAGAAATTACCTAGAAGGTACTGACTGATGGTCAAGATATAACGGCGCTGTGTAATTCCATATTTCTTTTTTTACCTTTATTTTATTATATCTATCGATATTTATTCATCCTAATTAATTATTGTTTTTACTCCACAACCTAACTCTAATGTAAAATTTTATATTGAGGATTGTATCCTGTTGAAAACAAATAAATATTATTATTATTATTATTATTAACTTCCCAAATTTAGCTGATATCTAATTATTAAGAAAAAAAAATATTCCAATCGGTTGACCGTGGAGGCCATTTCGGGAATTTTCTGTTTTTCTTGAGGTTCTATCAAATTTTATTTCTGTACACAGAAAAAAAATGTTCTTGAATCAAGTATATAATTTCGAAAAACTTAATCTTCTTGATTTGAGTAGAAAAATTCTTGACCTAATACATTTTTCTTGATTTAAGAAAATTTTACCTGATTCAAGAATTTTTCGTCTTGATTCAAAAAAATTACCCTCTTCAAAATTATTTTCTTGATTCAAGAATTTTTCTCTCTAATCAAGTTAATTTGTTTTTTCAGTGTATGTACTGGATTTAAAGAATATAAATTTTTTGAAAATCAACACGCCTGCACTGCTGTAGGGGGAAAGGATTTCATAAAATTTTGTTCGAGATGGTTTCTACAACATAAATAAAAGATTCCTACAAAATTTTGAGTCCATAGAAACTATTATTTGGAAATAAGAATTGTTTATTTTTAACGCCCTCGCAACCCCTATTGAAGTTGAAATTTGATAAAATCTATTCTTAGCTGAGCTTTAAGAGACGATTACACAAAAAGATTCCTACCAAATTTAGAGTTTATAGAAGTTACAGTTTGGAAATTGAAATTAAAAATTTTAACACCCACCCACGCAATCCCTATTGGAAGTAGAATTTATTGAAATCTGTATTGAGATGATCTCTACATGACAAATAAAAGACTACTACCAAATTAGGTCTGTAGGAACTGTAGCCATTAAATTGAAAATTTTCATTGTTAATACCCACCCCCGTAATCGGTATTGGGAGTAAGTTATCATATAACATCCCGACCAGAAATTTAAGTTCGGCGGTGGTTCGTTCCGAATTTGGCATGCCAAGCTCCAAGCTCGCGCCGAATCAGGAAGCCAAAGTTGGCCCACGTCCCGGAAGTAACGCAGTCGCGAGTTTGGGCCTAACTTGGCTTCCGACTTAGGCGGTGGTTTGGAAATCACACTTGCTGGTGACTATCTAAGCCTCATTCGGTCCGAATTTGGCTACCTAACTAGGCAGGAATTCAGAAACCAAATTCTCACGGAAGAATCCAAATTTAGTCCTTTCTTCGTTTTTAGCTACTTTTATGATAAAGCAAAAATTTATAATAATGAATGTTTATTTTTTTAATTTACTTTTAAAATTTTAAATATTAATATTGACTTTAGGACGAATTTTTAAAAATACTGAGTAAATAAAAAAAATTTTTTTTTTATTTAGGTATTATTTTTTTATATTTTTGGTAATTTTTTTCGCTTTTTAGGATTTTTCTTACTATGAAGTTTTTTTTGATTGGTCGGTTTAATAGGTCAAGGGGGATGATGGAGTTAGATACATTAGTCACACACAACACTTAAATTTACCTCACACCTGCCTTAAGAGTAATTATAATTAATAATTATTAAAAATTTTACGTCGAACGCGAGACTCGAACACTGTACCCGACGCACGAGAGCCCTATACCATACCGCGACGCTACGCCGGCGATGAGCGACCTCTTGCCTCAAGATACTTATAAGCCTGACACTTCGGCAAACATTCGGTTACCGTTGCAACGTTCGAGTTAGGAATTCCGATATTATACCTAAGTGAGAATTTGCCACAAACTTACCTAGTCAAGTTCGATTTTGATAGACCAAGCTTCAGAATGCCTTTAGTTACTGTTTGGTAAGCTTTTGGTTACCGTTATTTCGTACCAGTTTGGCAATTCATGGCATACCGAACTTGGGCACTGCCACAATTTTGCCTAAATGAGCCCGAGCTTGGAGAACCAAACTTCGGTAATCGTTTGGTTACCGTTATTTCATACTAGTTTGGCAATCCATGACATATCGAACTTAAGCATTGCCACAGGTTTGCCTAAATAGGCCCAAGCTTGGTGAATCGAACTTTGGTAAGCCTTTGTGGTTGCCGTTATTTCATAACAGTTTGGTAATCCATGACATACCGAACTTAGGCATTTCCACAGTTTTGCCTAAAGAAGCTCGATCGTGGTATGCCAAGTTTCAGTAAACCTTTGGTTACCGTTATTTCATAACAGTTTGGCAATCCATGACATACCGAACTTAGGCATTTCCACAGTTTT